AAATAAGTTATTGTGGATCCCTAATATTTACACCAATCAATCACGACTTTAAAAACTCCCACAAAAATCTGACAGACCAATCATGTATTTTCCAAACTCGGCCCCCCACACCAAGTACGTCCCATTTAGTGACTGCAGACCCCCCCACTCCCAATAAACAAGCAACCCTTGATGGTCGAACGAGGCCAAGTCTGAATAAAGCATGAGGAGCCGCCTCCCGGTGGTCCCGCCCCCTGCGAGGAGAGTGGTCCAGTATACCGTCAGCAGTGGTACCAGCTGGTCCGGTCCACTTCAGGAAACCATATCATCACATTTTACAGGTTTAAATTCAGGAAGGAACRTGTGGAGTTTCAACCTCCATCTTTAGGTGGAGATCGGAGTCCTTCCTGGGGGTCAAGCCCTCCCTCTCCGAGCGGACGGCTCAGGGACTGGTTCTGTTGTTGGATCTGGATCAAAAGGTTTCTCTGCAGGTTCAGTAAACTGATTTCTGTCTGGTTCTTCCACAGCCCRCCTACGTTCAGCCGCTGGTAGCCGTCAAGCTGTTGTTAACGAAAGAAGACTACGACGTGGAGCAGACGGTGGAGTGCAAAGTKGAGGGCTCCAACCTGCGCAACAGTGATGACCGGGACAAGTATCTGGGTCGGGTCACTTTTCGGGTCAAAGTGTCTCAGTAATCTGAGGCTTCAGCTGCCATGGACATCAAGATTCAAAAWYSRAMMAAAAMMAAAAAAACAAAAAGCTCAAATTCAGGAACCATTTTTCCCAGACTTGATCTGATYCCACATGTCTGAACCCGGTTCGTCTCGTTCAGGTTCTAAAACTCCAATCTGGACCACTGAGGTCTCGTGTTACACTGCCAGAAGCTCCGAGGCCTCCTCCTGTTTACTGACACCAGTTTTCTGTGCTGGACCCGGTTCTGACAGCCGGAGCAGATCAGGTCTGCTGTGGGAGCATGTGAGCCAGAAGCACATCAATCTGTTGATTTGAAACTTTTCTAACTTAGTGACATTAAATAGTGATATTTAGTAGAAGTGTAACGGTACGTGTATTTGTACCATCCCGGTACAGATGTTTGGTACAAGTACATTAAAGTACACAACAAATACGACGTAGAAGAGTTTTATTTACCTCCATTTCACAAACAGCAACAACAGGAAAGCAGGAAAAGMTCCTGTTTAAATAAAAACCAAACCACAGAAGCTAAAAGACCTGCTGAGGAGCCATGACAGGTGCAGGTACGGCAAGCAGTTATGTCATATAATGTGATCTACGGAACATTCCATTTGTGTATTTATTTAATAACAAGAATCGTTTACGCAGAGTCAGTGTGAGTGTTTAATATTTGATTGATTTTATACTTTCACATGAAGTGATTTTATTTATTTTCTTGCCTTTTTTAATTTTGTTTGAATTTCAGGTGAAATTTGTTGTTTTTTATGTATTTTCTTAATTGAAGAAAAGCCGTTTTGTGTTTSCCTCATGGACTCTGTTTATTGTTCAGATTTATATTGTTTTATTGAAGATGTTAGCTGACAGATCCTGCCTTGCTCTGCCTGAGACCTTCCCTGTTAACGAAGGTTTGTTTTTTCTGTTTCTGCTTCTAACAACAACCAAACAAGCTAACGTTGGCACAGGTTTCTGTTCCTGTTGTACCAAATGGTGACCCCCCCCCTCCCCCCCACAGCGTGACGTAGGCGTACCGTTACTCCCCCAATACTTAGSATTAGTAACAGGGCAGCGCAGCAGAAATGAAGTGAAGCACACACAGTTAGCTTCCTCAGATTTAGCGTCTCCTGACCGTTAGCTCCTCGTCAGCTCACCTGCTCCCKCCCTCACCAGGTGAGCCCAGAGAAACATGTGACCCAATAGAACTGAAATCTAAACTGAATATATCTGTTCCTCCTTTCAGTCAGCCCTTCATCCCTTTAGTTTTGTTATTTTTAGTCATCCACAAGGTGGTGCTGTGGCACCCTCAGCTCCCATAGGTCACATCTAATAAAACCACAACTCTAACTTTTATTCTTGTTTGTTTTTACATCCAAATGTTTTTAATATGATTAATCAGGTTCCAGACAAAAAAAATTTGTTTTTCAGGAAACGTTATGAATTAGTTTTTAATTC